GTGGGTTTCCAAGTAAGCCATCAAATCCTTTTTTATGGTTTTCTCCATCACTTTGCAGCAGATTGATGTCAGACTGACGAGTCTGTAGTTTGTCGCCAGAGCACGACTACCGCTTTTGTAAAGGGGTGTAATGTGGGCCGTCTTCCAGTCTGTGGGAAGAATTCCAACATCAAACGATTTCTGGCACAGAAAGGATAGTGGCTTGGCCAGCTTTTGGGCAAGCTCAAAGAGCAGCTTTGCCGGGATCTCGTCCGGACCGGGAGATTTACATTCCTTCAAGCTTTTCAGTTCTTCCAAAATCGCTTCTTCTCGAAACACAATATTTTCGATAGTGGGATCTCTCATGTTCTCAGAATTAGATGGAGTAAAGTCCGCTTCTCTTGTGAAAATGGATCGGAAAAATTGAGAAAAGTGCTCAGCCTTATTTGTACTGTCCGATATCTCCAAGCCGTCATCACCCCTCATAACAGGAATGGGGTTCCTGTTACGTGTGCTTTTCCGCAAATAGCTGTAGAGCAATTTCGGATTTTTAACGGCTCGGTGGAGCAAATTACTCTCAAAATCCCGTCGCCTCCTGAAAATCAGACTTTTCACCTTATTTCTTTGAACTTTGTATTCTGTAAACGCTGCATTGTTGTTGTTCTCGCGAAATTTCTTCCATAACCTTCCTTTCTTGTTGATCTCCCTTTTGAGTTCTCGTGTTAGCCACTGAGGGCGGTTGGATGTCCTAGGCTTTGATAAGGGACAGTGGTTCTTCATTAGATGCAGTAAACGATCCTTGAATATATTCCAGTCCTCGTTAACGTTTCCGGAGAAGAGAACATCCCAGTCTATTTGTGATGCCTCAGCTCTCATTTGGCGAAAGTCCCCTTTCCATATATTTGGTCTCGTATTGTCTTTTGTACATGGTTCACAATACAGCAAGTACTCCCATAAAAGCACTGCATGATCACTTCGACCGTGCGGGGGTAGGTAGTACACCTCGTCTATACTGTCAGGATCTTTGGTAAAAACGAGGTCCATACAACTGGCCTGTTGTCCTCCACGAGCTCTAGTTGGAAACAGGACATGTTGCGTGAGAAGAGCTTCTAGGGTTGTTTTTAATAGATGATAATCGAAGGTATTCATCGAGCACTTCGCCTGCATATCGCTCCATTGAATGCAGGGTGCATTAAAATCCCCCATGAGAACGTCTGGTCGGCTGGCGATCTCTTTTATGCTTTTGAGTAGACAAGTATCTGGGTCGGGATCCGCCTGCGGGGGCCGGTAGATAGTTACGACTTCGAGGGACTGAGATCCCCGTGCCTTTATAGTCAGCCAAATTGCCTCTGTGTCGCTATAAATCTTGTCGGTCCTCTCACACACTGCTAAGTTGCTCTTGACATACATGGCAACTCCTCCACCCCGGCGGCCTCTCCTGTCTCTCCTAAACAAATGGTATCCTGTTAGTGCTACCTCGCAATCGCCAACGTCTTCTAACAGCCACGTTTCTGTTATTGCTATAACATCGGGAAGAGTATCAGCTACCTGTATTCTTAGTTCGTCAAGCTTGGAAAACAGACTCTGAGCATTGGTGTAAAAGAATTTTAGTTTGCAACATTCGACAGTGTTTCGTTCGGTTAGTCTCGGGTTTGCCAATATTATGTTGCTGCCGCCATCAGGATGACTGGCTGGTTCCAAAACAACATCGCGTTCCTCTGCATCACTCGTCCCCTGAAAATGGCCAAGTTGCTCTCTCCCGCTGCAAGTCTCCTCTTCAACTCCGTTATCAATTATCGGCGTTTCAGACGTTCCGCTGTTTGTAACGAGCCCGAATGTCACTACGAGAGACGGCCCAGGAAAGTAAGGCTTCGGCAACTTCTATGCACTTAAACGTCTATGTACAATAAGAGACTAAAAAGGGGAAACCTAATTACAAAAATAAACTGCGATAAGGAGAAATTGTCCAGCAGGATTGGCGGAGGCACGGAAATCCAACGAAGACAGCGACATAGGTCCCACGTCCGAAGGTTGGCGGTCTTACACGGGGTTGTCGGAGGTTGATCCTCGCCCGTATTTATAGCTTCTCCAGAGCGGAAGCAGACAAGGTCGAGTCCGCCATTGTTGATTGGTTGAGGATAGGTCGAGGGTGGAGCGTTAAACATACCTAGGCCAGGGCCATCTTACTTAATTTTAGGGTTATAATAATTTATTATATGCATACTTTTTGTGAGAGGCCAAATTGCGACTAAGTGCCTGGCATATAAATATGGAAAAGTTTGACGCGCGCGCCCCTATAGGGACGCGCTTTCTAGACCCTTCTCCAAGATGGCGGCCGCACGTAGTCTGGCCTTCTAGAACTTCCTACATCGCTTCTTCTTGCGAAAAGGGTCTGCTCTCCTCAGCAGAATGATCTAGTGCGATGGCGGGTCCACCATCTGGGGGCACTTCGACAGTCTTCGCTATCGGATGTCCATCTCTGAATACCTCAGCCGAAGCGCAACCGCCTTCTGGGGGGACCTCTAAATACTGTCCACCTAGTTGGTCGATGTATACGTGGGACGGGCTTGCCCCGTTTCGGCACGGTCTGTGTCCTCCTCTGTCGAGTGACCTGGCTTTAAGCGATTGAAGTGTACCGTAAACTCTTCCGAGTACGGTCTGTTCTGGCTACGAACGACGCAAGTCGTGTCGAAGAGGACCTTTCTAACCACGTACAGGCCTATCCATGCTGGGTTACATTTCTGAAGTACACTCGGCGACGGTGCGAAATTCCGCATCCACACGATATCACCCTCTTGATAGGGGGTCCCGTGGGCTAGGCGATCATAAAATGCCTTCTGACGTCGCTGATCTTCCTGGATATGCAAGCGCGCTTCCTCCGATACTATGCGCAGGGTTTTTTGCGTCCTCGAGGCGTACGTGTCGACGTTCTCAACCGGATGTGTAGGAGGTAGGTGGAGATCCTCAGGGAGTTACATCTCCCTCCCGCACGTTAGGAAGAACGGGGTGTGCTGCGTAGTGGCATTTACCGTGGATCGGGAAACCAACATGCACGCTGGCAGGGCTTCGACCAGTGTGGGTGCTGAGTTCCGGCCGACAAAAGCCCGCAACAGCTTGATCAACGTCCGATTCGTCCTTTCCACCTGGTCGTTGCCTTGCGGGTGGTACGCGGTAGTGCGGGTTTTCTTAATTTTCAGAGCCCTACACAACTCGTGTACGACGCTACTCTCGAACGACGAGCCTCGGTCTGAGTGGAGTTGGTCCGGGGCTCCTCAGCAGCAGATCCGCCCGTTGAAAATGGCTCGGGCTACTGTGGGGCAGACGCATCTGGTAGGGGTACTGCCTCAGCCATCTTGGTGAAACAGCCTACCATGACGAGAATGAACTTATTTCCACTCGCGGATGGCGCGATTGGGCCAACTAGGTCTACCGCTACCCTCTCCTTGGGGTAGCCTGTCTTGATTGGCTGTAGCGGGCCTCTGTAGGAGTGTCCGGGGACTTAAAGCCTAAACAGTGCTCAAAAGACCGGACAACGTTCTGTATGTCGGTCTTCTGATTCGGCCAGTAGTACCGTCGACGAAGGGCCCACTCGGTCTTATGGATGCCGGAATACCCTAGTTTCGCATGCATCCTTTCGACCACGTCATCCACCATCGAAAGCGGTAGGACGACTCGCCTTGGGTAGTGTTCATTGTCGCGATGGAACAGAACGCCATTTTCAATGAAAAAATTTGTCCCAGAGGCTATGCAGGCATCGCTCTCATAATTATGACCTGCTAGTTAAGCCGCACGGAGATTGAGTCGAGATGCACACTTCCCGCTTGCGTGGGAGGTAGCAGTTGGGTGCTTGCGATGGGTGAGTGTTGATGTATGGTGGGGTGGTTCTGGCGGTGGTGAGGAGGGGAGGGTGTGATGGTGTGGTGCGACCGGCGGTTGTCTGCCGCAGTTGTTCGTGGATGCGCATGTGGTCGAAGAGACCAATGCGATGCGTGAAAGTGCGAGGGCAGTGTGGGCAGTGGACGCGAGTGCGGTGGGTGTAGGTTGGTGCTCCGGACACCGGTTCGCCAGCCTCTGTGCGATGGATTCGCAAGTGACCGACGAGGCCGATATGGGAGGTGGAGGAGCAGTCACAGTGTGGACAGCTGTAGTCCTGGTCCTCATCGCTGGAGTCGGAGGCAGGGAGGTGGTGTCGGCTGTTGTGTCAGGGTTGTTGATGTGCATGGCGGTCGCCTGAACGGCCGTCGTTGGGGCAGTGGAGGAGGAGGAGGAGGAGGAGGAGGAGGAGGAGTAGGAGGATGAGGAAGATGGAAGTGGTGGTTCAGAAGATTGGCCAGAGTTAGTTGGCGGCGGAGAGGACGGAGAAGAGATGGGCGGTGGGACGACAGTGGGTGCTGTCCGAGAGGTGCAGTTGATCCGAAGGTGGTTAATAAGTCCAGTTCGTGCCCGGAATGTCCGACGGCCTCGAGGACACGTTGGAAGCGGTTGTGCGTCGGCGTTGCGGACTGGGCGTGGCTGTGATTTGCGTGTTTCGCGTTTCGCTTTGACGACGGCAATACGGTTGGCTTCGTAGATCGCAGCGCCTGTCTTCACTGTCCTTCTCCAGGTCGGTCGATCGCGGGTGAGTTCTTCCCAGGTGGTCGGGTTAATTTTCAGATGCTTCAGGGAGGACTTCAGCGTATCCTTTTATCAGCTAATTGACCTCTTTGGCGGCGAGAACCCGTCGCGACGTCTCCGTAGAAGAGTCGTTTGGGTAGTCGTTCGTCGTTCATGCGCACCAGGTGGCCGCTCCAGCGCAGCTGCATTTGTGGCAGCATGAGGTAGTTGCTGAGGATTCCCGTCCATTCCAGCGCATTAGTGTCGGAGATACAATCCTGCCAGCTCAGCCTCGGGATGCGACAAAGACAGCTGAGGCGGAAGTGGTTCAGTCGGCGTGTGTGCTTTGTGCACACTGTTCACGTCTCCGCTCCGTACAACAGCGTCGGCAGGATGACGGCCTTGAACATCTTCCGCTTCGTGCTCAGTTAGAGACCGTGAAGATTCCAAACTGTACTTTGGAGGCGACCGAAGGCTTGACTGGCTTTCGAGATTCTGCGAGCGGCTTCGTTATCGATTTTGGTGCTACGGGAGAGGGTGCTGCCCAGGTACGGGAAGTTCTCCACCACTTGCAGTCGGGTCCCATTCACGTTGATTTGCGGCGCGTTGGCAGGAGTGGCTGTGTTTGGTGACGGTTGATGCATGACCACCGTCTTCTGCGTGTTGATGACCAGAACGAAGTTCTCGCAGGCGGCGGAAAACAGTTCCATGCTCCCCTGCATCTCCTCTACCGAGGTGGTGTTCAGAGCGCAGTCGTCGACGAAGAGAAGTTCGTGAACGGTGGTTGTGGATACGCGTGATTGGAAGTGCATCCGTCGTTGATTCAAGAGGTGACCGTCCGTCCTGTAGACGACGCGGATCCCAGGGCGTTCATCACGGTAGGCGTCCATCAGCATGGCAGAGAACATAAGACTGAAGAGGGTAGCCGCCAGCACGCATCCCTACTTCACTCCGTTGGTCACTGCCAATACCTCGGAGACAGCTCCGTTATCCGTGACTCGCACCATCATGCAGTCGTGCAGCCGACGCACCATCTGAGCGAATCGCTCCAGACAGCCAAATTTCTGCATGATCTTCCACAGTTCTTCACGACTCACTGTGTCGAAGGCTTTCATCAGGTTCACGAAGGTAGAGTACAGGTGGGTCCGCGTCTACTGACACTTCTCCTGAAGTTGACGGGCGGCAAGCATCATATCCGTGAATCCGCGATGACGACGGAAGCCGCATTGGCTTTCCGGCAGAAAACCCTGTTCCAGATGGTTATTCAGGCGGTTGAGAAGGATGCGAGCGAAGATCTTCCCGGCGATTTTCAGCAAGGAGATGCCGCGGTGATTGTCGCAGACTTGGCGGTTCCCTTTTCGTTAGTAGAGATGCACGATGGTTGCGTCTTTGAAATCTTTCGGTACTTCACCCTGACGCCACATCTCCTGGAACAGCGCAGTCAGGTGGTCCATTAGTTAGGGACCTCCGTGCTTGAAAACGTCAGCAGGAATCGCGTCCGATCCAGGCGCTTTCCCGCTGGAGAGCTGCTGCACGGCCCTGATGGTTTCCTGGAGAGATGGCGGGAGGTCGAGGTCCATGTTGGTCTCTACTTGCGGCAAACGGTCGATGGCGGCGTCGGAGATGGTGGAGGGGCGGTTAAGGAGGCCTCGGAAGTGCTCAGTCCATCGCTGTAGAAATAGCGTCTTCTCGGTCAGGTGGGTACTGCCGTCGGCGCTGAGGAAAGTAGCAGTGCCTTTCGTCGGCGGACCGTAGACAGCTTTGATTGCGTAGAAGAAGTTCTTCCATTCGTTACAATCCGCGTAGCCTTGGGTCTCCTCAGCTTTGCTAGCAGTCCAGACGTCATGCATCTCGCGCAGTTGTTGCTGAAGTTGGCGACGGCTGCGGTAGAAAGCAGCTCTATTGTCCTCGGTGGGATGGTTTAAGTAGTTTTTTAAGCGATTCTTCTCGGCGAGCAGACTGCTGATGACGGCGTCGTTGTCGTCGAACCAGTCCTGGTGTTGACGGCGTGCGCAACCGAGGACGGCTAGCGCCGTCGACTGGGTCGTTTCTCGCAGTTGACACCAGCGGTTCTCCACAGAGGCGTTCTCGGCAGCGGCAGCGGCATCGGCGGCGGCGGCGGCGGTTGCAGCGACTATAAGTTTGTCTAGCCGATGAGCTAGCTCATTGCTGAAACGAAGATGATGAGCGGGCGAAGACAACGAAGCAATATTTAGCTTACCTGCGGTCGCTTACCTTATGGTCTCCTGCGAGGCTGTAGGCGAATACGCATCTTCGAGATGATGAGGCGATGATCGGCCCACCCGTCAGCGCCCGCGATCGCCTTTGTCACCAGCACGCCCCGCTGATCTCGCCTCCGGACGAGGACATAGTCCAGCAGGTGCTATTGACGTGACCGAGGATGCCTCCAGGTGGCATTCTCTCGCTCCAGAAGACAGAAGGGGTTCGTCAGGATAAGGCGGCATTCTGCTCAAGTGCGGAGGAGCAGCAGACTATTGTCGTTTGAGCCGCGGAGACCATGAGGACCCAGCACTCCTCTCCAGGCAGCATGGTCTGTGCGACGCGGGCGTTGAAGTCACCAAGGACAAACAACTTGTCCGCCTTCGACACAGTCGCCAAGCGGGCGTGCAGGTTCTCGTAGAATTTGTCTCTTGCGACGTCGGGGCTGGTAATCGGCGAAGCGTAGGCGCTGACGATGGTGGCGAATTTGCCTCCCCAGAGAGGCAGACGGAGGCTCATCAGGCGATCATTGATGCCCTGTGGCAGACAAAGCAGATGTCCCACGATGTCGTTCCGAATGGCGAAGGCGGCACCCGCGTTTCGTCACTGTCATGGGGCGACAACTCCAGAAGAAGGTGTAACCGGCACCCACCTCTTCCAGTTGGCCTTGTTCGGAGAAACGGGTTTCGCTGAGTGCGGCGATGTCCACCTTTTAGCGCGCCGGTTCCCAGACCACTAGCGCTGTCCTCCGCTCCCGTCGGTTGCTCCTCGGGTTGTCTAAAAAGGAACGAACATTCCAGGCTGCTAGAGTGAGCGGACTCACCCTGCCAGTCTGGCGATTGCGGCAGCGAAAACTAGGACTAGGGAAAGTAGGAGAATAGGCGGGATGAGGAAGAGAGATTGTTGTTGTTGTTTCGGCTTTGGCTGTTTTGACCGTCTGTGTTTTGTCTGCGGCCACGGCCAGCCTACAGACAGCGCGGTTCCCAGCTATTTTTAGGGCATCTTTCCCAGCCCCTTCCCCTCGCGAGGGCAGGAAGCGCGCCCCTAAATAGGGTTGCCCGGTTATCCCGGACGGCTGCCGAACTCCACTATGGACCACGACTTTTTGTTAATGAGAGAACGACCCGAGTTAGTCTGGGACCTTGGTGGTGATGGGGTGGAGTTGAGTAGGAGAGAGCATACACACAACAGAACGCTATGGGGCTTACAGCTAGGACAAGCAGACACAGTCATCAGTCAGGGAGGAGTAGCATGGCACCATTCGAAGTCAAGCACAGTAAAACCAAGTTATTAGCAGAGAGGGGCACAGACTGATAGACAGATAAAAGGACGCAGACAAGAGCAACAGACAGCACAGGAATTAAGCAGGCAATTACGAAGGCAAGTGAGACAAGTAAGTAGCAGCATCATTCGAAGTCGAGCACAGTAACATCTAGCATTAGCAGAGAGAGGCACAGACTAGCAGACACAGAGACAGCAAGAGCAGCATACGGCACGGAGTTTAAACAAACTAGTAAGGAAGTAAAGCAGAGCGAATGTCACTTACCTGGCGGCCTCCTGCGATGGCCCAGGCAGAGCCTCGTCTCGACGATGTCGACGCAAAGATCTATCCGGCCAGCAGAGACCCCAGTACCATATGTGCAGGTGCACGCACGGATACCCTCACCTGATTTAGCCCACCGGTCGAGGCGGTAGCCCGGGGTGTGGCCGCTGATCAGACCCCAGCCACGTGGGGGCACAAGGGAGAGTTGAGTGCCAGCAAATAGACGCTAGGCGTAGTCTCACCTGCAAGCAAGTGTGCGACCACTACGACCATCACGTGAACCCAGCCCTGTACACCCCTACAGCCCACACACACACTCACAGACACGACAGTTCGACGATCCCTTTCGACGATATCCACCATATACCTCAAAGCAGGGTGAGCGCAGGGACGACGACTTGTGCAAAAACTTGGTTTATAGTGATAGAAGACTTGCACAGCATCTACCGTACAATCCCGTCCTCCAATACATGGACCCGATGTCAACACAAAGGCAAAAATACCGGATACGGGGAAGGGCGCAAGTGGATGACACTGTCGAGTCCGCACCTTGGCGCTCCACTCCACACCCCTCCCCGTTCACACAACAAATAACCAGACTTGGATCAACAACAAAGAATGAAGGCTGGAACGGCCGAAGCCGCACTTAGGCGTGCCGCCCACGCCCGGCTGGGGTTTCATGTAGTGAGAGTGTCATAAAGGCCACATTAAGAAGGAGCCATTGCAGCCTGACTCTCAGACCACCAGCCGACCACTCCACAAAAACACACACCACACTCGGGCGACTGCGAGGTGCAAGTTATTCCGTCAGTTGCCAACCTTTCAAGTCATGGCTTTTTGCGCACTGTGATAGCTTCAAGCGCGTCAGATTGTTTACAGTGAAGAAAATGCGCTGAGTTGTCGACCTCACTCTCCATTCCCATTCCCGTATCTCAGCCACGGTCCAAGCTGGCCAGTTGACTGTGGCGGGGAATGGGCGCGGTGGCTGAAATGGTCTAGTGACCTTGTCTGCGCGCTCCACATGCACGACCTGACCACCCAAACACAAGCATCCAAACACATTTCGGCCCGGCTCTCAGTCCACCAGTCCGCCACTCCACACAAACATACACGCAACTGACTGGACTGCGTGGATAGAATTGGGGCGTTAATCAGAAGCCTACCAATCCGCGGCGCTTGACGCGTCGGGATAGTCTCAAGCTCAATTCACTCATGGGACAGGAGCCGCACGGAGACCGAGTCGAGACGCACATTTGTCACATGTGTGGCAAGCGGCAGTTGGGTGCTTGTGGTGTCTGATGTTGATGTGCGGTGAGATACTGGTGAGGGGGAGCGTCGTGGTGCGGTGCAGCCGGCAGTTGTCTACCGCCGATTTTCTTGGATGCGCATGTGGCCGAACATACCCATGCGGTGCGAGGGCAGTTTCAGCAGTGGAGGCAGATGCGGCGGGTGTTGGTTGGTGCTCCAGTCACTGGTTCGCCAGTCTCTGTGCGATGGATTCGCAAGTGACCGAACGGGCCGATGTGCGAGGTGAGTGTGCGGTCGCAGTGAGGACAGGTATAGTCCGCGTCCTCACCTCTGGTGATGGAGGTTGCAGTGTTGAGGCTTGTTAGTGTATTAGGATTGCGTGTAGTGTTGATGTGCATGTAAATGCTGGGGCGGTGGATGAGGAGGAGGAGGAGGAGGAGGAGGAGAAGCAGGAGGAGGAGGAGGACAGGAGCAGGCGGAGGAGCAGGCGGAGGAGCAGGCGGAGGAGGAGGAAGAGGATGGAAGTGATGGTTCAGGAGGGCACTCAGAATTACTTGACGGCGGCGAGGACGAGGGAGATGTGGTTGGAAGGACGACGGCTGGTGCGATCCGAGTGCTGCAGTTTGTCTGAAGGTGCCCAATAAGTCCACTTAACGTCCTGAAAGTCCGTTGATATTGTGGACACGTTGGGGGTGGTTGTGTGTTGGTACTGCGGAGTGGGCGCAGCTGAAACATGCGTGCCTCACGTTTGGCTTTGGCGGCGGTTATGCGGTCATTTTCGTAAATCACAGCGCCTCTCTTCACTGTCCTCCTACAGGTCGACCGGTCTCAAGCGGGGCCTTACCAGTTGGCCGGACTGATTTGCAGACGCTTCAGGGAGGTCTTTAAAGTATCCCTGTATCGGCGGATTTTGCTCCTTGGCGGCGAGAACCCATGGGGACGTCTCCTTAGAAGAGTCGTTTGGATAGCCGCTCGTCGTCCATCCGCACGAAGTGACCGCCCCAGCGCAGTTGCAGCTGTCTCAGCATGGCGTAGATGCTGAGGCTTCCCGCAGGCTCCAGTACATCTGGGTCAGGGATTTGGTCCTACCAATTCAGCTACAGTATGCGGCGAAGACAGCAGAGATGGAATTGGTTGAGCTTCCGTGTCTGCTTCATTTATTCTGTCAAGGTCTCCGCGTCATAGAGCAGCGTCGGGACGATGACGGCCTTGCCCATCTTCAGCTTCGTGCTGAGATGGAGGCCATGACGGTACTAGACGGTGTACTGCAGACAGCCGAAGGCTTAGCCGGCTTTGAAAATTCGGCGGGTAAATTTGTCGTCGATTCTAGTGCTGCGGGATGAGTGCTGCCTGGATACGGCAAGTTGTCCATCACTTGCAGTTGGTTCCGATCACGCTAATCTGCGGCGCATTGCGCGGAGGGGCTGTGTTTGGTGGCGGTTAGTGCATGACCACCGTCTTCTCCTTGTTGATGGTCAGGCCAAAGTTGTGTCGGGCGACGAAGAGGTCCATGCCCCCTTTGCATGTCCCCTGCTGTATTTGCGCTGAGGGCGTAATCGTAGGCGAAGAGAAGTTCGGGGATGGAAGTTGTGGACACACGCGACTGGAAGTGCATCCGCCGCTGATTGAGGAGTTGGCCGTCCGTCCTGTAGGCGAGGCGGATTCCGGGGCGTTAATTGCAGTAGGCGTTTATTACTCTGACATAGGACATGAGACTGAAGAGGGTAGGAGCAAGGACGCAGGCCTGCTTCACTCTCTTGGTCACTGCCAATGCCTCTGACACGGTTCCATTGTCCGTGACGGACGCCATCATGCCGTCGTGGAGCTGACGCACCATCCGAGTGAATTGCTCGGTACAGCCGAATTTCTGCATGAGTTTCTACAGTCCCCCGCGAATCACCGTGTCAAAGGCTTTCGTCAGATCCACGAAGGTAGAATTGAGATGGGTCCGCATCTCCTGACATTTCTCCTGCTGTTGGCGAGCGGCGAAAATCGTGTCGGTTGTGCCGCGATGACGGCCGAAGTTACACTGGCTTCCTGACAGACGTCCCTGTTCCAGATGGC